GGGAGGAGGCCGTGAGGGCCTGGGCCGTGGGACAACACCTTCCCACAGCGGTTAGAAATGGGCTTTTGGATGGTTCCTGCCAATGAATCGTGTTTTCGGTTCATCCGTTCAGTTTCTGAGGTGGTAAAGGCAAATCGTGGCTGACTTTCGCTTGAGAAAGGGCTCTCGAGCCCCTTCCCCATCTGCCTGCAGGCACTGTCCTGCCTACGAGGTCATCTCATCACTGACGCACACCGCGGATGTCCTTGGCAGCTAGGTGCAGGTGTGGGCTCGGGCTTGTTGAGAACATCCAGTCAGAGGGATTTGACCGGGGCTTAGCGAGTCCTGCATTGCATAAAGCCCTAGAGCTCGGGAACAGTTTAGCCAGTTGCATTTGTTTTTGTATTAGGCGGTCTGCACAGCCAGCCTGGCGCAGTGGCAGCACACACCTCGTGGGATCGTCACCTCTGCGGCAGCCTCGTGTGCTGGATTGTGTTCCTGTGGGGACATGGTACCCGTTCAGAGCCTGGTGCCATTGTAACGGCAATGCTGACAATGAGAATGTGGTTTAACACAGATATTAAGTAGGTTCTGTTAATGTTTATGGTGCCCTCCTGCTGGCAAATGTAACTGCTATTTCCTGGATGTCAAACTTGGGTGCTGTTCTGGCAGTAAGCTCGTCCTGCCTGGAACACCTCACATGGCCAGGGCCGCATCTACCCCCCATCACTCACTGACCCCATACCTCTTCCATAAAATCTCCTGTTGTTACAGTTTCTGTGCGACATTTTTTATGCTGTTGTGAGATAGTAATTTTGTGCAAAATTCTACTGGTGCCCCTCAGAGTGTGCATGATGTTGATTTAGATGAACAGGATCTGCATCACTGGGGGGAAGTGGTGTATTGCTCGCTGCGAGGCTCAAAGGCTGCTTCTGTTCATTTGTGCAGATTCTGAAGCATTTAATCCTGTGCATGGGAACTCGGGCTGAGAGCTGTTCTCTGTAGCAGACAGATGTAGCCCTTGGCAGTTCATATCTGAGAGCTGAAGATTGCATTAGATATAAGTACATTGCAAATGGATCAGAGATCCATTTTGTATCAGCACATGAAAGTGTGCACCTACTCAGACCTAGGTAAAGGCTAAAGCTCCATAATTAATATCTCTGTTAATCCTGTTGAGGCTGGACGAGAAGGTCTGGTATCCTAGGATGAGTTTGCTTCATGTATGCTCCTTCTCTAACTATTTAACTCCGAGACTAAAAATACTGGAAATTATTTCCTTTTCCTTTTGCCCAGGCCCCAAATGCATGTGGAATACTGTGAAAAAAAATAAGAACTTGGGAGAGGCAGAGTTTGGAATGTCAATGAAATATTTATTGCTTATGCCCACAGGTTTTTCCTGTATCTGGGAATTAAAATAAGAATCTGGGTAGTTAATGGAAGGAATCAGCATATGGGTGTCTTCTCAGCTGTTGCTTTCTGCTGTTTCCAGTGAGTGGTGGGGGAAAGGTGATGCACCTTCTCAGGTAAAAAGGGTGTTCTTCCGAGGTTTTCAGCTTTTCACGGGTGGGTTTCATGGATGACAATGATTTTGAATCTTTTCATGTAAGGATCTTGCTATTGTGCCTCTCTCTCTGGCAAGGGAAGAAAAAATATTCATGAGGAGTGTTAAAACAACCCTATTCCTAGAGTCTCACACCAGTGCTCACATTTTTTCAGAACAGTAATTTGGTGGTGCGACATCTCCTGGCTGAACTAAAGTTACAGCATGCCTGATGTCTCCTGGAGGGAGCAATGACATAAAAGCTCTTTTGCCTTAAGTCTGCTCAAATGGTTTTCAGCTTAGTAGAGGCCCAAAGGTGTTACCACCTGGTGGCTGTTCAATGGCTTGTGTGAAATGGCTCTTCAGGGTCTTAGTTCCATTTCCGAGCCTCTCACTAGAGCACATTTCTCACTGCAGTTACAGTCCAAGAAGATCTAAGTGGATAATTTGTAATGAGTAGTGTGCTCACATGCTGCTGCCTTCAACTCAGAAGTTTTAACAAATGAGGTCATTTTCATTTGCTATTTGAAATTATTTACTGATCATTTCTGCAAATTAAATGCTCTCGAGCGGTTTGTTCCGTATGTGTAATATCCAGAGGGCTGCTTGTGTGTCGGCAGGGCTGTGCTCTCTGGCCTCGCTCAAGGCAGTTGTTACAGCTGGGTGACAGACAAGTAACTGGATAAGGCGAAGTTAAGAGACTTGATCCCAAGTCACAGTGAGAGGTGGGAGTAGACTATAACTGTTCTGCCTCGGGAGTTCACTTAATGGGGTAGGAGGCACAAGATTAAATAATTTCTTCATGGAAAAGCACCTTAATAATTCAGGGTTATTTAATTTTTTGAGGGGGAAGGGAAGGTCTATCTTCGCAGTTATTGTTGCTTAGATGCACATAAAACCAGGTTATCCTGTGAAGAGCAGAAAGGATGGTCCCAGACAGGCTCTGTCCATCCTCCCCACACTGACAGTCCCATCTTCCCTCCTGTCTCAGCTCCCTCCCTCCCGTCTCCACTTGTGACCACGCGCTGTGTCCTGTTTGCCCGGGAGGTACGCGAGGCTTGTCGGATGGCTGTCAGCCAGCGTGGGGATGGCAGATCCCACCCAGTTTCCCCCGGGGACAGATTTAGCTGTCTCCTTACTACCTAATCACATCTTCACTTGGAAACTTGCTTGTATTGAAGCCTGCTGACCATTGGTCAAATGTGGTTGACACTGACCTGTGGAAGGGAGGCTGAGAGTCAGACAAAAGCTGCCAGTGGCTTCTGTTCTCTGCCCTTAAGAAACAGGGCTAAATGTGTTCTTGTTTGGTGGCGCACTGGGACACAGGCGGCACACAGGCTGCTGATGCGTCTCCATATGCGGGTGATCCAGTCAGGGCAGGTGCACTCGGGAAAGAAGCAAAAGCAGTTAGGGGTGTGTATGTGATGGTGGGGAGTACCAGCTGTTCACAACTAAAAAGCTGTTTGTTTCTGAAGGGGTCATGGTGAGTGCTACTGGATTGTTAGGCATCGAAGTAATACGGCTGTATAGAAGTAAGCTGGCATACCACAGCCCCTGATGTCTTCTGTTCTCAGTATTTCCCTCTTGTGTATACACCCTCAACCAGCATGCTTGAATAGTTTATCCTGCAGCCTAGAAGACTAGAGAGGAGAACCTGTCCTTTGAAAGTCTTGCCTATTCTCTTACATCCCTAAACTGTTCTTCTTCTGGCATCAGGAGTTCCTCTCCCAGCTGGCCAGAGCTGCACAGGGTTGTTCAGGGCTGCTTTTTGACAGAATTGCCTCACATTGACAGCAGTAGTTTGGGGAGCAGTTGATTGCAACCAAAAATCAGACGTGCTTCCCATAAACGAGTAGCTGGGTTGGCAGGGAGCTAGTGAATTACTCTGCTGCTAATCGCTGCTGAGAAGGAGGAAGAAGGTTTAGTGTAGGAAGAGCAGTGTCCTGATATATCAGGAAGTTTGTGAGATGGTTGTGGTCATCTTAGTACCGTGAATTCAGGAGCTCTGCCAATCTCAGACCATGTATTTTTCTTGTCTCGCTGTGTTGAGCACACAGCTTCTGTCCGTATCTGTAAAGACAGTTCTCCCTTCCTGAGAACTTGGTGAACATATTTCAGCTCATCAGTCACACTTTCAAGGCTGTATTCTGGATGAGTGTGGGGGGGATTGAGATGGGGAACTGTTGTGTTAAGAAACTTACCGGGCAGGGAATTTCACAGACAACAAACACGATGTAGGGTATTGCGATGGCTAACAGGATGCAAACGATGAACACTTTCATGACAATACTGAGGTTTATTCTCATCTGCATATCTTTGTCATCTGTGGATTCAATTTCGTCTAAAATGAGATAGAGAAGAATATTTGTGTTTACAAGCCTTTAACTGTTCAAAATTTTCTTCAGTGTTACTAGGTTGGGTTAGGTTAGGTGGAACAGAGCAGAGGAACAATTCAGAGCCTCCTGTAGGCTTTCACAGGAAGCTGTAAATCTCTCTAGAATCTTGGAAACTTTTTACTTTAAAATATTTCAAATATCTTTCAGTTCCTGCCTGGTTCCCCAGATGAAACTGGTGTGTAAGCACAGTCACAGCAGTAAGGTTTGTAACTTCCCGCTGAAGTCAGGCGAGGTTTTTAAGAGAAGCCAGGACCCCTCGTGGGACACGCTTGAACATGGGCAACTTCTTGTGAAAGTCACTGCTTAGATATTGTTTTCCCACGACAGCTGTGGATTCACGAAAGCACTTGGGCCAGTGCATTGATTGGCAGAGGCAATACTGCTATCCAGAGAAGCTGCTGTTTGGGAGAACTTGTCGAAGTCACGTGTGTGAAAGCCGGTATCTTTTTCTATCCTTAAATCTACCGCTACGCTGCTTCTGTGACTCTGGAGGGAGAGTTGGTACTTACCCTCTAAAGTTTTATTTTCTTGGTGCACGTGTGGGACAGTCAGACCCTCTGCAAAAACTTTCAGCTTGGGCAGCTTTGCTGTTATAACACAGTTTGATATCCCTGCCAGAAACACTGGAAATAAAAAGTTGTAAAAACAAATGTTTGTTTCTGTTTAAGCCGAAGAACCAGAAGCAGTTGAAGGCTCGAATGACTTGCATGCTGACACAGTTGGCAGGAGGTGGCACCGTACCTGGCAATTTGCAGTGAGGTACCGGAGACAGTTTTCTTGCTAGCAGGCAATTTCCTAATGTACTGAATTTTCTGTATCAGTTAATATTGGAAACTATATTTGCCAAAACCTCCTGGCTCTCCCAAAGGAAGTGAAAGCAACAGCATGGAATTATCCCAAAACCTGAAGCTTTCAGTAGTGTTAATTCTGGATCAGTACTTTCTCTTAGTTTGGTTTTTTTTTTGTTTGTTTTTTAAGAGAAAGGTACAGATTGATTTTTTTTAATAACTACTAAGGCATCAGCTATATGAAATTGAAGACTGCCCTCCTCTGATACACCTAAACATGCATTTGCTACATTGAACTTTTTACCTTTAAGAATAATTTTCCTCTGAAACTTTTTTCTGCGGTGTGTTAGTAAAGCACAGCTGTAGCTGGTGGCAGGTTTCCTGTTTGCACTGGTGGTGACTTCCAGGCTCTGCAGGGTGCACTTCTCCGCTGTCTGGTTTGTCACATCTCCGTGCATCTTCTCCAAATACAGCAGATGTACTTGCACGGGGCTTTGAAGACTAAAGCATTCCAGAGTGATGACATTTTGGGTTCCGCTTAACTTTCCCTTGGTTGCTGCTATCCCAGGGGCTGGAAAAGGGTAAGAAACATTAGAAATGGCTTCTCTTAAATTATTTACAGTTCTTCTTGCAAAAGGTTCAGGCCAGCACAGTTAGTGTGAGGGACGTACTGTTGTAAAGGAACTTCAGAGGCAGCTTGCTGTTAGTGTTACAATGAGGAAAATTCAAGCAGGTTCTCTGTGTGTAATCCCTTTGGTGGTTCTTTTTTGTCAGACTAGTTTTGTTCTTCATGCCTAAGCACATAGTAAGTTGTTACTCTCTGGAGGATAACACACACACTGTGTAACTTTATAGTTACCTATGGGCAAGCCCCTGAGATAGTTAGCAGAGAGACAGACCCCTCTGCTTGGGGTCCCTGTTGCCCCTGGGGACTCAGAAGGCTATGGGGGAGCTGCGGCCCTTCATCTAGGCACGCAGATACTGAAATCTGAAGGGTTCAGATTTTATGCAGAACTGCGGATGGCAAGTGACACCAGTACATCAAAGGCTACTATAATTTTTTTTTTTTTTTTAGCAAAACAGAGCAAAAATTTTGCATGATCTCTGGTATCCTTTTTGGTCAAGGAGCTGAGGGATAGCTGAGACAGCTGAACGTGTTAACCACACCAGCAAGAGCCCCGACGGCTTTCCTCTTCCATTGTTGCCTTACCTTGCAGGATGATGTTCAGGCTTCTCACACTGCCAGGTATTTCTGAGGCATTTTCCACATGACATTTGTAGTCTCGGGGGTCTGAGGGAATGGAGTGGAGGTTGAACCACTTGTAATTACAATGCATGGTTAAGTCAGTACTCCCCTCTTTTAGTAACTCATTTTAAATGTCAATGTTTTGCTGACAGCAAAGGTGCAAGAATCTGAGGTGAGGGCGTATGGATTAAAGATTTGGTTCAGCATATGGTAGAGGAGAGAAAGTTAGCGTGCAAAGGTATATTTATGCCTAACCCTTAGTCTCTTACAAAATCCTTAGTTTAATTCAGTTAGAACTTGCAAGTATGTGAACAACTCACCTTTTCTGCTGAGATTGTTGTGCGCAAACACTAAGCTAAATATTAATATTGTGAGCATAATTACATCTTCTCTTGATGATCTCTAAGCCCTTTTTATCTTTACTGCTTCCTTTGAGTAATGTTGTAAAGGTGTTTAAGCAGGTACCGAGCTGATTAGTAGAGATCCCTGAAGAGCTCTGTGATCGTATATTCCTGTTCAAAACTCCTGCACTTTTAACCTGGCCAAGAAACGGAGGGTTTAAAGTTAGAGCCTGAATTCACTGCAGATTGTACTAATTTCTAGTTTTGACCCAGCCAGGAGAGATGTGAAATTTGGTAAAAAACAGACCTGAAAAAAAATCTTACCTGTCTGTCAAATCTCCTTCCAATGCGTATGTCACAAATTAACCCTGAACACGAGTCCCAGAGTTAAGCACTGAAATGGGTGAAAAGGGTAAAGGCGGTGTCTCGTGGGAGGGGGGCCCAGGCCACGCTGTGGTCCTGGACTAGACTGGGGCTGCTGGTTGCCATGGGGCTGAGCTCCTTCTAGAATGGGCCCCATGGCAGCTACCCCGTTGCTGAGGAGCAAACAGAACCCTTTCCTAAAGCCTTCTCCTCCAACGAGAGGTTCCCCAGCAACCTCCTGAGAGCTGTGGCCGAGGCTTGAGCCTGTGGGCCCAGGGTGAGCCTTGGTGCACAAGCGTGGCTAAATACGCCATGCCGCTTGGGTGGAGTAAAAGCAGCACCGTGTAACCCCTCCGCCAGCATCACCTGCCCTTGCAGGTCTTTTGTAGAGACAAGCCTTCCCACTCGCCTAGGGCAGCTCCAAATCGGGGCAAGGGGACACTGGCAGGGATTTCCACCGGTGCTCTGGCACAGGGAGAAGTGATGCCAAGCAGGCTGGTCCCAGGCCATTTCGGGCTTTTTAGATTATTGATGAAGCCTAATGCTGCTTAGGAAATGAAGGCAGCCTGCGATGACCTGCTGCCCTGGTGCGGGGTTGCTCCCAGGAGCTAGGAGGGAGCCCAGGCTGAGCCCCACATGCCTCTGGGTGAAATGCAGTAGCTCTTGGGGGCAGCCCAGCAAATTCAGAGGCAATATATCAAGGCAGCATACAGAAATACGTGGGAAAATTATCAGGCTACTGTCTGCAGGTTTAATTAAAAAGTCCTGTTGAGGTTTCTTTAGGCTGTTGGGTGGATTGTTTCTGGAGAATTGGCTTTTTCAGTATTAGACACAAGGTGGCGATAGAAATCACATTTTCCTCTGAAGCCTCTGGCTTCTAGATGATGAATAACCACAGGTTTATGTCCCCGATCACGGAAGGAAGGATAGAATATTGCTGTTCAATCTAAACTAACCCTGACATTTCAAATGACTGACAGTCTGGAGACTCGAGAAAACGTTTCCATAAGCATTGATAATGCCAGGAGATGCTTACTTTCCTCAGCCTTGTAAATAAAACCTAAAAAATATTGGAAAGAGAATGTGATTATAAAGAATTTCAAACACGTAAATGTTTATTTTTAATGTAGTTATCCAATACCGTTACAAAAGGTTCAGCATCCCAGCTAAAATGCTCAGTTTTGCTTTCTGATTAGTTTTGTTGCTTCTGTTCCTGGGATGGAAATGCTGAAAGGAGCCTAACTTTGCAGTTTTACAAGATGATTTAGTGTGCTTCCTGAAGTTGTAAGAAAACTTAGGACCAGTAACAGCACATTATGTGGACTGAGTTAATGATGGCAGCTAACCTGCTAACTGGAGAGAATGAGATATTTTGTTAGTGATTATCCTTGAAAACAGGCAAATATTGACAGTGCTGTCAGGATTAATACTTCATTTCTAATGTTTAAAGTGTTCTGTAACATTTTCTAAAAAGTTAAAACATGGTTTTGATTTAAAAAGCTGTCTGACCTTTCTCTCTTTTACCTGCCTGCCAGGAGGTGAGTTGTGCCAGGATGGATGGCATCACCACCCCCCTAACCTGGGATGATCTCTCCTGTGTTTGCACCGGTGATGTTATCAGAGCCTGGGGGAGAGATGTGGAACCCTAACTTGGTGTCATAAAAGGTAATAACATTTTCCCTTTTTTTTTTTTTTTTATAAATTATTTACTGCATTGGGTTGCAAGGCTACACTTGCTTTTTTTGAGAAAATGGCAGGGGGAGGGATTGCACATGTGAACAGTGCATGCACTTGTCAGTCGTGTAAGAGTAAATAATGTTCTGTGTCCAATTCCTGAACGCAATAGAAGAAGGACAGGCATTTAACCAGCTCCCTGCCCCCAAAGCAGAAACATGGTTACGACTCAAAATCTGATAGAACTATCGGAAAGTATGTCTGAACTTTGTGAAACAATATGTTCACGTTAAAATACACATTACTGCTGCCCACAGTTCACATTTTTAACCAGTCCTTTGTAACTACTTCAGTCTAGAACTGAGGGAAATTTTGAACCCGTTTCTGCTCCTACATAAGTCAGCAAAGTTCACCAGGTGTTCTAAATGTGGGATTTGATTCAGCCTGGCCCATAATTAATAATTGCTGGCTATTCCTTACCCTTCAGTGTATTCCAGATCAGTTGCTGTAATTCCTCCCAAATTGTCTTTCCTTGTAAAAAGTGTTCCACCAACACCTGTTCACAATGCGGCGAGATTTTCTTGCTGGCCTCAGTGGGTAGGAGCAGGTGTGAAAGATAAGCCCAAAGCTTTTATTTGCTTGTGTAAAATTCACATAACGGAATATTTTGGGATCTATTCTGTGCTGTATGTGTATAGGCTACTAACAGCTGCCCTTCTGTGTGATATGCACTGGATCCATCTGTGAGAAAGCCCATCCATTAATGTTACAGTGATAAATGAAGTGCTGCTTTAAGGCCATCAAAGCTGAGGGTGGCCCAGGGCTATTATTAGTGTTCAATTTCAAAAGCACCTTCCAAATCCATGCTTTATTTTTAAGGTTAATGTATTTCATTCGCTGTTTTCACATGTTCTTTTCTCTCTTTGCCCTTGAATGGGAGAGTTGCTACAGGATTTAATTGCATGTAGCAATCACTCCTCCAGCAGTATTTGAATAGTATTTGACTGGATGGATGAAGAGGGCAGGGCAGACAGGCAGCATGCAGGTTTTAGCATGACCAGAGTACTCGGAACACTAGGTAGGATGAACTAAGCACCTGTCGTAATCTCTGATTTTGTAAGTTATAGTTATCATCAGTGATTTAGTACACGCTCCCTCAGCATGCCAAGCACTCCCCCTCACTTTGTGTGAGTTGGGATTTAGCACTGTGTATGATTAAGATAACATTGACTGGCCTTCTCTTTTAACTCCTCCATAGAAATATTATCATGGAGGAAGATTCTTTGTGTAAGACATATCTACAGAGATTTAAAAATGTCTATGCCCCGAACAACTTCCCAGATTGAGTCCTGATGGAGGTGAGAACACGGTCTGTTCCCCCTAAAATAATATTAGCAACTCTAGAGCCCCAAGTAAGATATTCCAGCTGTGTGATATGTGCCTGCGGAATGCACGCATTCCAACAGCCACACATCCCCGGTAACCATTGGCTCAGACTGAAAACATGTTTTAAAAAGAAATTCCCCATGGTTTTAAACTGAAGTCTGTGGCAGACAGAATTCCCCGTTCTGTCACCCCTCCTGCTGCTGCAGTGACGTTCCTGTGAGCTTAGACAGCTGTCCCAGAGCAGTCCCCAGCCAGGATGAGCTTTCCCAGGGGTATCCTCTCAAACCTGGCGTCACCCCGTTATTCGAAGCACAGGAATAAAGAGCCCAGTGCAGGTATACACTGCACAAGAAAACCCCGATTTCCCCGCGAAGGAGAGGAGGGTGCAGGGACGTACGGGTGTCAGTTCTGTCCCTCCTGGAGCCTGGTGAGGAGCCCTGGCCCGAACAGACCCCAGAACTCCCTGCGCAGGTACTCGAGGCCTTTACACCCCTCGGCCTCGCTGCCGCTCCCAGCGGGAAGGGACCTGCCTGCACAGATGACCAGATCCAGCATTGGGAATTAAACTTGCCTTGCTTATTAGATTTAAATTTCAGCAACTCTGTAATGCAACAAAATTTAAAACAAAACTTTGAAAGTAAGAAGCAGAAGGGGCAGTTCTTCAAGGCGTCGTGCCGGGGCCCTGGGGGT